AACATTACCCCCCTCCCAAAGATTCACGTTGTCCTCAAGGTGAAATGAAGGAAATTGATGCTTCACCATTTCATACGATTACCAAGTGGCGTCGAAGTCAGTTGGCCCATCCACTTAATTAGCAATTCTTTGTTCCCCCTTTTCCTGATCTCACCCCTTTTAGCTCCAAAGGTTCCAAAATCACTTCCAACTCCTCTTTCAGTGTTGCCGGTAACTTTGCACTATCTGCATGCTCCTCCATAGCTCTCCTCAACTATGACACATGGAATATTGAGTGCATGGTGGCGGTCGGGGGTAACTTCAAATGGTACACCATTGCTCCAATCTTTTCCACTATCTCGTAGTGGACGAAATACATCGGGGTCAATTTCTCGTTCCTCCTGTGGGCCACTGTCCTATGTCTGTAGGGTTATAGTTTTAAGAACACCCTTCCCTAGCTTCAAATTGAATCTCTCCTATGTGCATATGTTTGCTTCTTCATGATCTGCTGTGCCCTCAATAAGTGCATCTTCAATTCCTCCAGCACCCTATCCCTTACCTCTAAGTATTACTCTACTGAAGAGACTGGTGTACTTCCTTGTCCAAAATGCACCAAGTGTGATGGGTCTCTTTCATACAACACTTTAAAAGGGGTCATCCGGGAGGCCGAGTGATATGAAGTGTTTTACCAGTACTCCGCCCATGCTAGCCACTTGGCCCACAATCGTGGTGTCTTTGAGGCAAAACATTGCAGGTGTCTTGATAACCTCAGTCTGTCCATCTGTTTGTGGGTGGTAAGCGATGTTTCTCTTAAGAATTATTCCTTGCATCCTGAATAGCTCCTTCTAGAACTGACTGAGAAACACCTTATCTCAGTCTGAAACTATTGAATTCGGAATTTCATGCAATCTAACTACCTCCCTGATGAATGTTGTTGCTACTGTGATGGTCATGTAGGGATGTCTTAAAGGGATAAAGTGAGCATATTTACTTAACCTATCAACCACTACCACTATAATCACCGTGAACCTCTCAGATCATGGTAGCCCATCTATGAAATCCATGGTAACCTCCTCCCATACTCTATTTGGAAGAGTCAAGGGTTGAAGTAATCCCCCCTGGAGCCATAACCATGTACTTGTTTATTTGGCAAACCTCACATTTGACTATCATCTCCTCCACATCGTTATGCATTCCTTTCCAATACAATTTAGCTGCCAACATTCTATATGTTTTCTGCACCCTAGAATGGCCTCCGATCGCACTGCCATGGAATTCTTGCAACAAATGGGGAATATGAACTGAGGTTCGTGGCATCGCAAACCTTCCTTGGTAAAAAAGTCTCCCCCCATCAAGGGAGTAACCTGGGTGGCTGCTCTCTTTTTTCAATAAATCTTGCCTAATCCTCCTCAGCTTGTTGTTATAAGTGGTACTGAAATAGCCATCTCCTGGAGCTTCCCCACACATCTTTATAAGGCATCAATCGCCTTATTCTCCAAGCCCATTATGTATTGGATCTTAAAATTATAGCCTATCAGTTTGAGGAACCATCTCTGATGCTCCTTTGTCACCATCCGTTTCTCTAGCAAGTATTTCAAGCTTCTCTGGTCTGTCCTGACAATGAAATGCCAATCAAGTAAGGGTGCTACTTCTGAATAGCCAACATAATGGCCATCAATTCCTTATCATATACTGACTTCAACCTAGCTTTATCTAACAACACTTGGCTGAAGTAGGCTATGGTTCTGTGATTTTGCATGAGCACAACCCCCAACCCATGTCTTAACGCATTTGTCTCCACTACAAAGATCTGACTAAATTTTCGGGAGAGCCAAAATCAGGAATGTAGTCATAGCCCTTTTTAGTCGTTCAAAAGTCTGGGTTGCTGCCTCTCCCCACAAGAAGTTATCCTTCTTCAGTTGCTTGGTTAAGCGATTGTACTGTATCCCCTCTCCTGTAATAACCAATTAACTCTAGGAAACCCCTCGGCTCTCTCAGATTCCTAGGTAGAGGTCACTTCTGCATTGCTTCAATTTTGGTTTGATCGGCCGCCACTCCATCCTGGGATACCACGTGCCTCAACTATTCCACACTAGCCTGTGCGAAGCTGTACTACTTTAGGTTGACCCTTAGCTGATGCTCCTGTAGAACTCCTAGAACCACCCTCAAGTGCTCCAAATGCTCCTCTTCGGACTGTTGTACACCAATATGTCATCAAAGAAGACTAATACAAACTTCCAGAGATATGGACTGAACACCATGTTCATAAGGGACTGGAAAGTACTAGGGGCATTAGTAAGCCCAAACAACATGGTCAAGAACTCATAGTACCCCTCATGTGTCTTGAAGGCCGTCTTCTGAATATCTTCCTCTCTCATCCTGATTTGATGGTAACCCGACTTCAAGTCCATCTTGAAAAACACCACTGCTCCATACAGCTCATTCAGTAGCTCATCAATCACAGGAATATGGAACTTATTCGGCACATTCTCCTTATTCAAGGTCCTGTAATCCACACAAAACCTCTAGCTTCCATCCTTTTTCTTGACCAATAAGATTGGACTAGAGAAAGGACTCACACTCGGCCTAATGGTCCCGCCTCCAATATTTTCTGGATCAGCTTCTCTATCTCATCCTTCTGAATTTGAAGATAATAGCATGGTCAAACACTGATCGGTGATACCCCTCTTTTAAGATAATGTCGTGCTTTAGCTCCCTCGGTGGTGGTTGGCCCCAACAGATCTACAATCTGATTGGAGATAAAATTATGGGTAGCCCCACTATCGATCAGCACCACCGCATCTCTATTTGCTATCTCTCCATTCACTTTCACTATGTGATTCAGGGTGAATCTCCCCACTGAGTTTAGAGAGACTTCCGCCATGTTCAGATGCAGCTTCTCCTCTTCCCCCACCACTAGTGAGAATCCGAAGAGTTTGATACTCACACCTATGCCCTGACGTGTACGTCTTGTCACATTTGAAGCACAATCCCCTTGCCCGCTTCTCCTGCAATTCCTTCTCAATGAGCTTCTTAAAATTTTCCCCAAACCCCCTCCTCCAGTCTTCTCCTTTGATGCTTCTTACAGACTTCCCGGTGCGGGTCGCTTGGGAGCTATGACAGTGGTGGTCATCCTGTATAAACTCCTCAAACTAGTGCTTTTAGCCCCCCTCTACAAATACTTCTAGTCCTCAACCAACTGTGCCAGCTCCATGGCCTCCCCCAAGTCACAGGGCCTCATCACTCTAACAGCTGATCGGATCTCCAGCTTAAGCCCCTTCATGAAATTTTCCTCTAACACTGTCTCAGAAAGTCAGTCTAGCCTGCTGGCAAGGTACTCAAACCTGTCATGGTATTCTGTTATTGTTCCCTCGTGTCAGGGCGAAGAACTGCTCATAGAAGTTTCCTCCCCTACTGGTTCGAAAATGTTCTAGTAAACAGTCCTTGAACTCCCTCCAACTCCAAATGGGCCGCCTCATGTCCCTCCACTGATACCAAGCCAATACTTTCACCTCCAAACAGAGTCTAGCTGCTATCAATTTCTCATACGTCAACTCATTGATTGCAAAGTACATCTCTACCTTGTAGATCTACCTATGTGCGTCTTCACACTCAAAGATAGACATTTTCAATTTCCTTGCGCTCGGGTCACCTCCGTTTTCCCTGAACCCTCCATAGCCACCCATTCCTCACAAAGGAGGTGCTCCCCAAGTGTCATGCTCTTCCCTTTGGCTATCAAACCCAAATCCTTCTTTAAAGCCCACCCTTCTTCTTTCAAATCAGCACCTCGATGATCGTAATCCTCACCCCTTCTTGCAAAATCAGCACCCCTTCATTCGTACTCGATACTTATCTCCTCTCTAGAAAGCGGCTCTAGAGGAGGCATCGCGTCTACTCCCTCCATAATCTTTACTTCTTGATTTTCCCTTCCCCTAAACAGGTTAGGGTTTCCACCTCTCCCGTGATCGTCGGTGGTTTCCTTCACTTCTGATGTCGCCGGGTTGGGTTTGGCTTCAAGTAACTTATTTAACATGTCTTCCATTATGGCGAACCTTCCATCTATCTTTTCATGAATGGATGCGAATTGGTTCTGAAAATAAAAAAAAATTTCTTCAAAATCAAATTTTAGTTGACCTAATTCCCCCTACAAATCTTTCAATTTTCTTTGGGCCATTGGTACCTCTTAGATCGACGTGCTATGATACCAATTTGATAGAAAATAATCACCAAAACAGAGAAAACTTGTTTAATTTCAGAGAAATTCAGCAAAGCACTTTGCAGAATTTACAAAAACTGTAGAGAAATCGCAAAGGCATGCACTTGAAATTCAATATGGGATGAAAGAAACAACTCGATACAAAGAATCTTTAATTAGAAAGGAAGATTCATCTTTCCAATCTCTAGCCGAAGTCTAGAGCCCAAAATCAACATAAAGATCTCAAATTTTAGATTCAAATTCAAGATAAAACCTAACCTAGGAAGAAGAAAATTACTTAAAGCAAAAGACAAATTATTATTTCCTAAACAGCCTTTAATTTGAATTTTCTCTCCAACCCAAAGTATCATTCCCATCCCATCAGCCGTCCAAGCCATGCTTCCCCCCCTAGTCCGCTTTTTGTGTACCTGAACCTGTCCAGAAAGGACCGGTTCAGCTAGCCCTTTGGTCGTTCTAACAAAGTCATTCAAGTTGATCAAAGAAATCATGCATCATTGAATTTAAGATTTGAGTAATTATGGGCTATTCAATTATCAATATCTATGATATAATACTCCTGTCTGTCTATCTTTATATATATATATATATATATATAGGCGATTCCCTCACTTTTTTCTTTCCTTTCGAATCGAGATCTCTCTCTCTCTCTCTCTCAGCCACTTTATTTCCTTTTCCGTGAAGGGCATCAAGTTGCACATCGCTAGCACTCGGCTAATGATTCCTTTTATTATTGAGTTTTGTACGTTAATGAAATATTTTTTTTTTGATTCTTTTTTTCAAAATAAAAAAAAACAATCTAGGATAAGGTTGGTTGGATTGTATCGATGGGGGTGGCTTATGCTAAGGCAGGGTTAGTTTGGTTGTTGAACCAAAATTGTCATAGAATTATACCAGAATCTTTCCAATAAGCTTAATGATAAAGAGAACTCAGAGACATAGATAATAGTGAGAAGCTATGAGACTTTACTAAATGAGTTTAAGTGCAAAGAATTGTTTGCTATGAGCTTTACCTCTAACTCCCTCTTTATAATTTTGGGTTAAGAACTTAAGATTTAAGCGCTACATGATTAGCTACAAATAAAGTCACATGAATAAGAAAACAAAAAAAAAGGTTATGTTGAAGACAACTAGTTATAAAATACATAAGTTGTGTAGCCTAATTGATGTGAAACATAAGGTATTGCAGGAATTTAATAAAAATTTATTAAAATTGTTAATTTTAAAATTAATGTTTCACAAGATTAGATTGTAGGATTTCTTAGTTGTAGTTGTGCTTTGGCATGAGATTACAAGAAAGATTAACAGGGCAATTTAAAATAACAACAAGATTATAGTAAGGCTAGGTGCATAAGCAATAGAAATCCACATGTTAGCAAATAGAAAGTTCACCTTGAGTTCCCCCACTCTCACTCTTGAGGATGTTCTAGCGGAAGAATAATTTTAGCAAACCTAATGATGCCACTAAAAGACAAAAAATGCATGCAGTATTGCCCCACGAAAAGTTAGTCGGAGGAGGAGTCGGTGGATGTCCAATAACTTGTCACTGTTCGGGGGTTTGGTGCTCGTCGATGGCGGTCGTCAAAGTGAAAAGAATCCTATCGACGTAGTCGTCAATGGTGTGGTCGATCTTCAAGTTGAGGTCAAAGAAGGGCGACTATTCGTCCTTGAAGATCATCATACACGAATCCATTGTTTCTTTCAGGATCGGTCATTCATGGGGAGAAGGCCGGGTTGTGTAGCTTCTTCCTTGGAGCGTATGAAAATAATGGAGAAGAGAAGAAGTGGAGGGGGAGGTTGGAGAGGTCGGCCAAGTTTGGGGAAGAGGCTTCTTTAATTTCAGCTTTTGGTTTATTTGGGTGGAGAGTCAATAAATTTAAATATGAATTTTAATTTTAGATTTTGAATGGAAAGGGAGGGAATAATTTTGAAATTCAAATCACCCTTAATGGGAAAGTAAGTGGACGGCCAACCTTAAAGAAAGAGTGTTAATTGATAGTCTTAATGGGGAGCATTAATTAAAAGAGAGGGAATAGGGGGGTCGGCCAAAGAAGGGAGAGAAAAGGGTGTGCACATTCGATGTATGTGGATCCTTGCATTAATTATTGATTGGAGAATTAAATCTGAATTAATTTTAGATTTGTGGTGATGGGGAAACTTCCTAAAATATGAAATTTTAATTAAGAAAGAATTCGAAATTCAAATTTCTTTGAAGTCGAATTAGAATACTTTCCAAATCAATAGGGGGCTACTTTAGGAAGGTAATGAATGTAGGGGAGCAAGGGAGGGCCGGCGGCTAGGGCTTGGGAAAGAGGGCTAAGGCCAGCGGCTAGGGGTGGAAAAGGAGGGAAAGTAGGCTTGGTCGGCGGCTTTTTGGTGGGGTTTGGCTGGCAGTAGTGGGGGATTAGGTCAGCGGGTTTGGTGGAGGAGAAGAGTGGCCGGCGGTGTTGGAGGAGAAGGGGAAGGAGGCTTGGCTGACGGTTTAGGGTAGGTTTGTCAGCGGTAGGTGAGAAGAAAGGGTGGGGAAGGGGAAACCGAGAGCCTGAATTCTTCCGGTAGCTGTCGGGTATTGCTTTGACCCTCTCTTAGGATTCTCTCCTCAAGAGTTCACAAAGAAACAAAGAACACGAGTTGAAATTTCATTCATCAATCATTATTTCATACAATAGGGACAACCATCATATATAGGCCTCAAATAAAAGAAAAACACAAAGACTCAAATGCCCTCGGGGCTACAACATAAAATAATCCCTCTTGGGGATACAGTGGTAAGCAAGAACATAAATAAAAATAAAATACATAAATGCATCATAAATAAAGACTCCGAATCGTAGCCGTCGATTTATGATTCCTCCGATGATATACATGCCGAAATCTTCTGCTGATGTCCTCATCACTAATTACATATGATCATTTGCTAACTTCAAATGAGTCTTTTGCTTAGTCTTTAGCTTGATAAACAAAGACGCTTACTTGTATGTAGGAAGTAATACATTTATTTGAAGGTAGTCTTTGACTTGTCTGAAGGAAGTTTGCGGATAACTTCTGGTTGTAAATGAGTGTCCAAATATGACTGTCTGACTTCTCTATGAGCTGGACAAGCTCTTTACGTGCTTAACGATTTCACCCAGAATCAGGTGTGTTCTTAATAAGCTTGAATAATCTGTTTCTCAATTCTTAATTTGAGCTGGACTCTTGAGATATCTGAGTGTACATTCAGTTTCTCAATTCTCTTATATATTTCTCATGCTAATATGCAAAGAATAAAAAGAATTAAATAATAACATATTTATTTTGTAAAAATGCGCATTAGTCACGATCAATTATTCATTTGATTTTGTCCTTTTGTCCATGTTAGTGATTCAAAAGTTATAAATATGGCGATGAAGCTTATGTTTAAACGACACTCTCTTACACGAAATAAGCTATGAAGTCAGATGCTTCTTCAGAAGAGAATAATATATGAAGAGGATGGCATTCGAAGATGTTAAGGCAAATAAAGTGACAAGAGACCCAATTGATTTAGTTAAGGAACTAAATTTTCCTAGGTTACTTTCCGAACCAATGGGTGAATGCTCTTCTTTCCTTATCAAGGAATCTTTTCAAGTAAACTTCTATTACTCCACCTGTAGAGTCATGATAAAAAAATGATTTTCTTATTGTTGAAATAAAATTTTTAAATTTAAATAACTTTCTTGATATTAAAGTTTGGTGACTTTTGTGGTTCATTCTTCTGTGAGTTAACTCATCGATAAAAAAGTAGAGGAATGCCAAATTGATATTGGCGAGGCAGCCAATGCTGAACCAAGTTTGATGTTGGTGAAAAGCTATTAATAAGTTGAGAACTGATGTGGACTAATTAATTACTGATGAGCTGAGAATTGATGTCGGCCTGATTGTTGTTGAAGATCTGAGGATTGATGCTAATTAGTAGAGATTATTTTGCGTAGACATCGGACACAGCTTATCATTCGGAGACGAATCAGGTGCAGCCACATCATCCAGTACCGAGCTCGATACCGAGCAGTACCGAGCCACGGTACCGAGTAGGGGGTGACGTGATGCATTTTCATTGGGCTCTGGACGGCGTTCGGCGTCCATATAGAATAATTCATTGTTAATCAGACGGTTATTTGTGTATGAAGAACTTATGTTGGTCAATTGAGCACCAAGGAGCCAGAATTATTCCTTGTAGTTTTCAAATGAAAGGTTTGCTTCAGTTGTGGATTCTAAAGAAAAATTGGAAGATTGATATTTTGATTTTTAATGAAAAAAATATTTATTAGTTTTTCTCACTCGTCATTTTTGGAGATGACTTTTTGGATTGATCGTGTACTCTATTAAATTATATATATATATATATATATAGTTGAATTTTGAAATTAAAAAGGATGTTTGTAGAAATTATTGTTTTGGATGCCTTCTATAAGTTCAATCATCGAAACCCTCAACGAGGTTATCGTTGAGTATTGCCCTTCTTTCATTATTACAATGTGTAGGTGACCTTTGGGAAATCATCGAAAATTCTTGACCAAATTGATCAGATAATGTTGGGATGACTTATCTTCAACTTTCATAATAGTGCAATTATTGATCATGATAAGATTGCTACTGGTGTTGATGTTGGAATGACTTATCTTCAACTTTCATAATTATTGGGCGACTACGATGACCTTTGGGAAATCATCGAAAATTCTTGACCAAATTGAGGTTCTTTCTTTTGTTGACTTGACGTAGTAAGTTGTAGACTCATAAATATACTCTTCTGGGTTGATGTGCCACCTATTGGCGAGCTGTAATATCTTCAATCAAGCATTAGAATTCTTCAGGGCCCTTTGAGTGGCTAGCTAAGTGATGAATTGCTTTTGAACTCATTGAACGAATTTATTGTTCCCACTGTTAGCCTTAAAAATCATTTAAGCGATGATTTTTTGAAAATGGTAAAGAATAACTTGCATTTTAGAAATATCAATCAGTGATATTGCAAACTAGAAAGTAAGCGACATGATTTGTGGTGTCAATCTTTCCCTATATTAATCGAAATGTGGGATATTTGATTTGCAGTAAATTGTTTCTGCAAATTTTTTTAGAAGGCATTAGTTAATTCAGGCTTTCTTTTCTCCAATTTTTTCACCTTACGAGTTAAGAGAGTTTCTGCAGGCCTCCTATGGGCAGAGTCACCTTTTCGGTTCAGGAGAACCGAACCCAACACTAATGCTAGGCAGCAGCCAGCAGAGCAGGGAGGGGGGTTTGGCCCTCCTTGTGGGGGAGTAATTATTACGTCCGGACACCGAACGCGTCCAGAGACCAATAACCACGCGCCACGTCACTTGGAGCTCGGTACCGAGCAATCGGTATTGCTCAGTATACGTCCTGATTTCCAATTTTTTGTCCGGACGTAATAATTTTCCCTTGTGGGGCCTGGGAAAGATCTAATGCAATATGTAAGAAAGAGAAATAAAGGGAGAGATATTTAAGAAGCTTTTTATTATAATTGGGGGACAATTTATTTAGGAAAGATCCAAATCAAATTCAAATTGAGGAGGGAATCAATTAAGGAAAAGGGTTGGTTTAGGAGGGAATTTGGGAAGCCTATTTTGGGCTAATCATATTGTATTTTCAGAAGATGTTTGGATTTGTGTTTTGTAGTAGTTTCTTTTCTTTGAGGTCTTCCTAACAGCTTCTAAGTTGATTAGGAGAGCTGATCTACCTCTCTAATTATAGATCATATATATCTTGCTTTCGTATTGAAGTTATAAACCAAAATCAGTCATTATTCTTAGAATTTCTGCAGTTTTTCTATTGTTCTATCACTTTTTCACTTCCAAGGTATATCAATTGGTATCAGAGGGAGGTAAATGACCGCAAAGAAGATGGATGCATTGGAAGGTGAGATGGAACAGCTCAAGGGCGGAATTGAGGAGAAATATTTCGGAATGGAGGAGAAGTTCACAACTGTGGAAGGAAGGCTTTCATCCATTGAGAACCGCTTTAAGAACTCAGAAGACATGATAAAGAAGTTGATTGAAATGTAATCGAAGGCTTCTCCAGCTATTCATAAGGCTGATTTGAAGTGAAAAAAAATTCAGGAGGACGATGATGAAGTAGAGCGTGTTTTCCTTCATGGACCATCTCGGGGGTTTCCGATGGGAGGTGCATCAGGATATCCCGAAAGAAGGGGGGAGGCCGAACCCTTTTGGAGACCACTCGGACATGAGGGAAAGTCGATTAGAGGAAGCAATGATTGGGCTATGTTTGGAGGGCAAAACCTTAGCCTATTTCAGTGGAGGGAGGCTAGACATCTGATCTATTCATGGGATGAATTTAAGGATTATTTCTTGGAACGCTTTCGAGCTATTCGGGAAGGAGACCTTTACGAGCAGTTTTATGCCTTGACTCAGGAGGGAATAGTCATTTGTGGGAAATTTGAGCTGTTGTCGGTTAGGTTTAGAAGGTAATTTCATGAAGAGCCTGACGAAAGACATACGAGCAGAGCTCTGGGTGTTGAGGTTTGGGGGTTGAGGGAAACGATGGAACTAGCGCAAAGGGTGGAAGATAAATATTAGAGGGAGAAGGCCAGCCGGAGCATCACCATGGGAGGGGCTTACAGGAATACCTCTACGACCTTGGCACTGAGGACCTAGATGGTGTCGTTTTAGCATTGAAGGTGAAGTGTATTGGAGTTCGTCCTGGAGGCAATTTCAAGCGCCTTACAGAATCAGAGGTGTAGGATAGACGGGCAAAAGGGTTATGCTTCCGGTGTGATGAAAGATTTGCACTGAGACATAAGTGCAAGAATCGAGCCCTTCAAGTCTTGATGGTCTGTGAAGGGGAAGAGGAGAGCGGGGACAAGCTAAAGGATTTCATAGGGGAAACAGAGCAATTACATCTAGACTTGGTAGAGGTGCCCCTGAACTCATTGGTGGGATTTATCCCAAATAACACTATGAAGGTGAGGGGAAATTCAGGGAATAATCGGTGATGGTCTTGGTGGATAGTGAGGCTACTCATAAATTCATCTCCAACTGGGTCGTGGATTGGTTGAGATTGAAGTTTGTGGATACATGGAGCTTTGGAGTCATGATGGGAACAAGAAGGGTAGAGAGGAGTAGGGAGATTTGCAGAGGGTTGGTGCTGGCACTCCAAGACATGCAGATAGTAGAGGATTTTCCTCCCTTGGAATTAGGGAGCACTGATGTAATCCTAAGGATGAAGTGGTTATAGATGATTGAGGAGACCAAGGTGGACTGGAAGTCTTTAACTATAGAGATATAGGTGGAGGGGGAGAAGGTGGTGCTACGAGGGTATGCTAGCCTATGTAGAACTATGATTTCACTTAAAACCATAATCAAGATGATATAAGGAGCAGGATTGAGCTAGTTGGCAGAGCTGTAGAGCTTGGAGGGGATCTGAGATTCATAGGTAGACCAGACCCTTTAGTGTATACATCAGCTTCTGCAATAATTTTCTGAGTTTTTTTGGTAACCTCACGGATTACCATGAGCACGAGCACACGATTACCTTGAAGGAGGGAGCTTCTCCTATAAGTGTTTCACCGTATCGGTAATCGCAAATCCATAAGGATAAGATAGAGAGGCTCATCATAGAGATGCTGGAGGTAGGGGTTATTAGACTCAGTGTGAGCCCCCTTTTCTAACCCTATTTTACTAGTGAAAAAGAAGGATGACAGTTGGAAGTTTTGCGTGGGCTATAGAGCCCTAAACAAGGAAATTGTACTGGACAAGTTTCCTAGTCTCATGATTGATGAGTTGTTAGATGAACTATTTGAAGTGGTCATCGTCTCAAAGATTGACTTGAAATCGGGGTACCACCCAATCAGAATGACAACAATGGATGTACAGAAGACAACTTTCATAACCTATGAGGGTCACTATGAGTTTTTAGTGATGCCTTTCGGCCTTACCAATGCCCTAGCAACTTTTCAGCCCCTCATGAATTGATTTTTTTACACTATCTAAGAAAGTTTGTTTTGATATTTTTTGATGACATCCTGATCTACAGTCGTATGGAGGCAGAGCATGTGGGACACCTGAGGACGGTGCTGGTGACGATGCGGGAGCATCAGCTGTATGCCAACCTAAAGAAATGTTCATCTGCACATCCACAGGTGAAGTATGTAGGACATGTGGTGAGCAAAGCAGGAATAGCAGCAGACTAGTCCAATATTGATGCTATGCTGGATTGGCCTTTACCTAAAATCCTGAGGAAGTTGAGAGAGTTCTTAGTCCTCACCAGGTACTACCGGAAGTTTGTGCGAGGGTATGGCACGATAGCGTGGCCATTGATTGAGCAGTTGAATAAGAATAGTTTCAAGTGGGTAGAGGCGGCAATGCGGACTTTCAAATAGCCAAAGAAAGCGATGACTAGTGTGCCAGTGTTAACACTTCTTGACTTTAACATATAATTTGTGGTGGAGACATGCGTCAGGATATGGACTAGGGGCAGTGCTCATGCCAGATCATCGGCCTATTGCCTATTTCAGTCAGGTGCTCATAGTCAGGGCAAGACTCAACTCAAGTTTGTGTACGAGAGGGAACTGATGGCTCTTGTCTTTGCTATTGAGAAGTGGCGGCCCTATTTGTTAGGGAGACATTTCCTTGTCAGGACATATTAGAGGAGTTTGAAGTAATTGTTGGAACAAAGGATAGTCGCTAAGGAGCATCATCAATGGTTATCTAAGTTGCTTGGATATGATTTTAAGATCCAATACTGATTGGGCTTAGAAAACAAACCAGTGATAAATGATGCCTTGTCTAGAAGAGTTGAGGCGCCTTAGTTAGTAGTCTTGTTCGTATCCATGATCTTAGATTGGGAAGCTTTTAAACAGGAGAGTGAACAGGATGAAAGACTGAGGAAGATCAGAGCCGATTTGCTACAGAACCCTGATAGTCATCCTGGTTACACATTGAGAGGATTCCAGTTGCCACATCAAGGGAGATTCGTTTTACCGAGGGGATCGGGATAGATCCCCAAGCTATTATAGGAATTTCATGGCAATGCAGTTTGAGGACATTTAGGAGCTCAAAAAACCTATAGTCAATTATCAGCAAAATTATACTAGGTTGGGATGCGCCGCGATGTAGAGGACTAGGTAGCCATATGTGATGTGTGCTAAAGGCACAAGTACTTAGCCATGACGTTGATAGGGTTACTACAACCCCTAACCCTACTAGAGAGGGTGTGGTAGGAGGTGGTGATGGTTTTATCGAGAGTTTGCCACGATCAGAAAAGTTTTTGAAGATACTGGTAGTAGTCGATCGTCTAAGAAA